TGGAAACTGTGGCTGGGGGAGAGAGGGGAGAGAATTTAGCTTCCTGACAGCTTGATGGATGAAGCTTTTAGTGAGTCTGGTGGAGCGGGCACGGAGGCTCCTATACCTTCTTCCAGAAGGCAGGAGGCTGAACAGACTGTGTGCGGGGTGACTGGCGTTGCTCACAATTGAGGTAGCTTTACGGGTGAGGCGGGTGATGTATGTGTCTTGCAAGGAAGGGAGTGGGGCACCAATGATCTTACCAGCTGTGTTCACTATACGTTGCAGTGCTTTTCTGCTGTATTCCGTGCAGCTCCCGCCCCACACAGTGATGCAGCTGGACAGGATGCTTTCAATGGTGCCCCGGTAGAATGTGCCCATGATGGGTGGGGGAGCTTGAGCTCGCTTGAACTTGCGGAGGATGTAGAAGCGCCGCTGGGCTTTCTTCACCAGTGATGCAGTATTGGTGGTCCAGGAGAGGTGCTCACTGATGTGCACCCCTAGGAATTTGGTGCTGCTCACTCTCTCCACAGCAGCACCGTCGATGGTCAGTGGCGGGTGTTCGGTGTGGCCTCTCCGGAAGTCAACAACAATCTCCTTGGTTATGCTGACATTCAGCAGGAAGTTGTTGTCTCTGCACCACGCGGTCAAAAGGTTGACCTCCTTCCTGTAGTGGGTCTCGTTGTTCTTGGTGATGAGACCCACCAGAGTTGTATCGATAATGTGATCTGTTTATTGTTTCTTTTTAAGGTAATGGAAACTCTCACATTTACATAATCACACAATACTAATTTATCCACCTGGCCAGGTTGTCAGTGAATCAAGTAACTTATTTGGCATCCTGAGAAAACTGTAATCTGAAGTTTAAATATTCCATTTAAATACGGCAGCTGTATCTGTATTCACAGTGCAGCTGTGTTTTATTTATTTTATTCTTCATATTAATTACTTACAACTAATGAAGATTTAGATTTATAGATATTATCAATGACAATTTGTCCAATCAGATTTTATTACAAAGACAGCATATTAAAGTGAAAATGTGTTGCAGTATGAAGTTTAAGGTCTATTTAAGGAGATCTGATCTAGTTAAAATGGTCTGAAGACTAGTTAAGGAGATCTGATGACTCGTTAAAATAATATGAGGACTAGTTAAAATGGTATGGGGACTAGTTAAGGAGATCTCATGACTCGTTAAAATGGTCTGAGGACTAGTTAAAATAGTCTGAGGACTCGTTAAAATGATTTGAGGACCAGTTAAATTGGTCTGAGGACTAGTTAAAATAGTATGAGGACTAATTAAGGAGATCTGATGGCTAGTTCAAATGGCCTGAAGACTAGTTAAGGAGATTTGGGGACTAGTTCAAATGCGTGAGGACTAATTAAAATGGTCTGAGGACTTGTTAAAATGGTCTGAGGACTAGTTAAGGATATCTGATGACTTGTTAAAATGGTCTGATGACCAGTTAAAATGGTCTGAGGACTCGTTAAAATAGTTTAAGGACCAGTTAAAATGGCCTGAGGACTAGTTAAGGAGATCTGAGGACTAGTTAAAATGCTCTGAGGACTCGTTAAAATGCTCTGAGGACTTGTTAAAATGCTCTGAGGACTCGTTAAAATGGTCTGAGGACTAGTTAAGGAGATCTGAGGACTAGTTCAAATGGTCTGAGGACTCGTTAAAATTGTTTTAGGACCAGTTAAAATGGTCTGAGGACTAGTTAAAATAGTATGAGTGCTAATTAAGGAGATCTGAGGACTAGTTCAAATGGCCTGAGGACTAGTTAAGGAGATTTGAGGACTAGTTAAAATGCCTGAGAGCTAGTTAAGGAGATCTGAATACCAGTTAAGGAGATCTGAGGACCAATTAAAATGGTCTGAGGACTAGTTAAGGAGATCGGAGGACTAGTTAAGGAGATCGGAGGACTCGTTAAAATGGTTTGCGGATCAATTACTGAGGTCTCAGGACTAGTTAAGGAGGTCTGATGACTAGTTAAAATTGTCTGAGGACTAGTTAAGGAGGTCTCTGTCTTTCATTCATTGACTCTGCTCAGATCAGCGTGTTTCCATTCAGATGGTCAGAATCTTTTTCTCACTTTCTTTTGGCTTCAGCAGCGAGTCAGTTTGTTCAAACGCCCACAGAGCAGAGTGACAGTGACTCATCTTCATCAGGAGGAGGAGGAGGAGGAGGAGGAGGAGATGAGCTCCTTTAATCAGCTGTAGAGGGGCGGAGCTCCTCACATTAAAACAAAAATACTGAAAACACAAACAACTCCATCATTAGTGTGTGTGTGCATCGATTATAATTGTTCATCATGTGTTTGTTGACTGGATGCTATATTGTATATTATATATTCTGAATATTGAACATTATTATAATCTGCACGATATTCCACATGTTAATCATGTATTTGAGGAAGTATTAATCGTGTCAGGTTGTTCATTTTGATCATGCTCAGTACAGTAGTTTTGGTTTCAGACACAGTTGTACAGGTACGTGTGCTGCATGAGGATTTAAGTTGAAGTTTATTTGGGAGGTCTGAGAATGAAACAAATATAATACATAAATATGACATATATAATTAACATCAGTCTATATTATCTAGACCACTTTATCCTCCCTCTGTTGGTCCTGGGGGGCTGGAGCCGATCGCAGTTGCAGAGGTGGTAAAGGTACACACATTCTTTACTCAAGTAGAATTACAGGTACTTATGTAAATAAAAGACTCTGGTACAAGAACTACTGATTTAACTTATTTACTCAAGTAAAAGTGTAGAAGTAGAGGCTCTGAAATGTACTCAAAGTATAAAAGTAAAAAGTACTCGTTGGTTTCTGGGACATTTCTGTTTCAGTAAAAAGTTAACTGAAACTTCAAACAGGGTTGACGCTCCCTCTCTCGTCTGTTTCATCGTATTACATTGTTTTCTTCTTTATTTTTGTCTGTCTATAATGTGTAAAAAGTACCGGTCTTGAAATTTAAGGGTAATAAATAATGTAAAAAAGTAAATAAATCATAATGGACAATTCCCCTCAAATGCATTATAATGGAAGTCATTCTCTAACCCCAACTGGTCGAGGCAAACGACTGCCCACCTAGAGCCAGGGTCTGCTTGAGTTTTCTACGTCTTAAAAGGAAGTTTTTCCTTGCTGCTGCCGCCAAGAGTTCGGTCTAGATCTGCTCTATTTGAAAAGTGTCCTGAGATAACTTTAACTGTTAATTTGGTGCTATACAAATAAAATGAATCGAATAGAGTTAAAGTAACAGGCCCGTTTTGAAAATGTAGAGAGTAAGTAAATGTTGGTCTAAAAATGAATACTCAAGTACAGAGACCAAGTGTTTGTACTTTGTTACTTCCCACCTCTGCCCAGCAAATACTAGGTAAGAAGATAGGTACAATTGTCCAGGACGCAGAGACCCTCATAGGAGAACAAGCTCCACGCAGAAAGGTCCAGCCAGCTAAAGGGTTCAAACCCAGGAATAAAATATGTCTAAGTACAACATATGGAAATATTACATTTATAAATGTACTATGTAGAAATATATGGTAAAAACCACAAAATGTTAACGTCCTCCAGTATGCTGAACGACAAATTAGTTTTGAAAAAGCTTTGAGATGGAAGTTTAGATAGAACCAAAAGTGTGAACAAATATTGTAGCGATGATATGTCTTTCTACTAAAGTACCATCTTTGTTGATGTTAGCAAAGATCTAGCATCTCATCTCACTAGGTCAGGATAAGACCCTGTCAGTCGAGCTACACTAGCAGAGTGTAACCAGTGCAATCGCTAAATAGATCGCCACTGACTGCAGGCCCATCAGTATTGGTGAAGACCAGGGGCTTTAACATATTATCCAGATCGCATCAGGCAACGCATCATACAAGCAACCTTCAGGGGAACTATCTTCACAAAATTCATGAAACTGGAGCAGTTGGCACGAGCTACATTTATTACACTGACCGGAGAACTACACTGGTGTAACTAACTTAAGATTGGCTTACCTAATCGATGACAAATGGCAACTGCACTCGTGTCTTACAGTTTTATTATACAGTGTATTGTACAGTTTCATTAAACAGTTTTACTCTACAGTGTATTATATTATACAGTGTCAGTTTTATTCTACAGTGTATTATAGTTTTATTTACTTTAGGAGGAGCCTCCCAACTCTGCCCCCATCACCATAATCAACAGCCCTGTGTCTGCTGTGGGAACCCTCAGGTTTTTGGGATCCACAATCTCCCAGGACCTTAAGTGGGAATCCAACACAGACACCATCATCAAGAAGGCCCAGCAGAGGTTGTACTTGCTGTTCCACCTCAGGAAGCTCAACCTGCCTCAGGAACTGCTGATCCAGTTCTACACTGCCATCATTCAATCACTGGTGCCAACCTGCCCTCCATTCAGGACCTGTACTGGTCCAGAGTCAGGAAAAATCACTGCAGATCCATCTGACCCTGGACACAACCTGTTCCAGCTCCTCCCTCTGGTAGGCGCTACAGAGCACTGTACGCGAAAACAAAGTCTCTTCCACATTGTTCACAACCATCATTAACTGGGTGATCTGATCAATGGGGGACAGCTCTCACTTCACACCTGATTACCTGTCAATCATCCTCCTGAACCAGAATTAACTAATCAATAAGTAATAATAAAAAGTTTGGTGAAAAACAGTCATCAGTAGGATCAGTTCATGAATTGATTTAATTTGCTTCACTGGTTTCTGTTTCACTCAGAGGACTGCAGTACCACGTCTGACCACAAATACTGACATAATGCCAGAGAAGGGGGCGCTGTTTCACTGTTCTGGTTTTATCTTGTTCAAGCCTGATTGATTATTGATTTATTGATGTTATTTATCAGTTTATATATTATACTGTATATCGATCTGTTAATGAAATATTATTGATTTATTGATCAGTTACTGTATACCGTTCTGTTAATACATTAAATGATTGAGGATTGATCCTGGTGGCCGCGGGGCGGCGCTGTAGCCTTTAGAGGTCTACCGGAAGCAGATTTGTGTATTTCTGGTTCCGGTTCAGTCTCAGGTATTTTGTTGTGTTTGTGGTCTGCCGCAGGAGAATCGTCCGGTTCTCTTCTAGTCCTCCGGGTCTCTTTGTTGTTTTCCAGCCGCTCTCATGTACCGAGCTCCGGTCAGACCTCAGCGGAGTCCCGGAGCCCCGCGGCCGGCTGGAAGGTTTCCATCCCCGGCCTCCTGCTGGGGTTTCCCCGGGGCTCGCTTCCCATATGGAGGACACCGCGGAGGATCCCCACGGGGCGGACCCGCTTTTTCTCCCGGTTCTCCGGTCTACTCCCCGGGTTCGCACCGCGGATACAGGGACGGTTCTCCTGCTGGCTTCGGGAGCGGGTCCCGGGGGTTCGGGGACTCTCCTGCCGGCTTCGGGAGCGGGTCCCGGGGGTTCGGAGGGCAGATGCGGCGTAGAGGGGGCGCTTTCCGGCGGCCCCATTCCTTCAGTCCGTCCTCGGTTCAAAACTTCCAGGTACAGTTTCAGAAAAGATTCAAATGAATGAGAACAAAGAACCAATCATCAGTCAATACTACAACTGATACTAAAGTTATGAATCATTTATCTTACAGCAGTTTCTTTATTTATTGATTTATTAATCAATAAATAAGAACAGTAACAGCAGGTAGATGTGGTGGTTTTTAGTCTGTTTAAGTCTGTTTCTAATCACACAGATTGTTTAAATAATAACCGGACATAAAGTTTGTTTGTTTGTTTGTTTTCAGTCTGGATCTTCAGACTCTTCAGTGGAGAAATATTTCAGTCCGTCGATGCTGCAGGATCCCTGGGCGGCCATGCAGCCCATCGCAGCTGCAGACAGAGAAACAACCTGATAGGAAACAACAACAACAACAACAGACTCATCAGCAGTAAACAACCTTCTGAGCACGCTCAGTCACCAGCAGTCTCTGTTTCTCGGCAGCTTCATGATTGAAAGGATTTCAGGGATCAAACTCACTGACGTTTTTAACTAAATGTTTTCTAACAGTTTTTAATGGACACCAGATTCTTCTTTGTGTGTTTTATTCACTGGCTGTTTAATTTTAGAAAATAAAACAATGAAAAGGCATCGTTTGTTCTTCAATCTCACGCGTCTTAATTTGAAAGGAATAGGACGTTCACCGACACCTGGTAAAACTGATCAATCAACTGTTTCCATGGCAACTCTTACTGAAAATAAACTGCAGATGAAAAAAATGGAATGGAGAGTAATCAACATCCCATAATTGACCTGTACGTAACTCTTAATATTTATATATATTTAATTTTTTAAGGAAGGGAAACTAGTTTCAATCTGCAGGAAAAACTGTAATATTTTTAATATCTTCTCATCCATTATCCCCATTAAAATAGTTCAATTAAATAATAATGGGTAAATTAAAGGGATTTAAAGGGTTACTGGAATTCAGTTTAATGATGTCTGAATCAATATTGTTAAACCTGATGTCACCACTAGACATCAGTGTGACTCCACTGTAGAAGGAAGCAGATCTGTCAGATGAAACAGATAACACAGTCAGATAAAACAGTAACTCACACTTATAGTGGTGACTAATGTTGATGAACATGAAGAAGATGATGTCGATGACAACAACGATGGGGGACAATGAGCAGTGATTATAGTAATAATAGTAACTGTAGTAATAATACCACCAGGATCCATGAGAACCTGCGAGACAATTAATGGAACATGAATGAGTGCAGAAAGAGAGAGGAAGAGAGGAGCTCAGTGCACCATGGGAAATCCCCCGATAGTCTAGGCCTATAGCAGCATAACTAAGGGATGGTTCAGGACTCACCTGATCCAGCCCTAACTATAAGCTTCATCAAAGAGGAATGTCTTAAGCCTACTCTTCTAATAACACATCAATAACTATTATATTATTTTGTGTTTGTGTTTTATTCTACTTTTAGAGACTATAGGAACCACAAGTAGCCCAGCATTCAGAGAACGTAGTGTTCTAGAGGGGTAATAGGGTACTATGAGCTCTTTAAGATATGAAGGGGCCTGACCATGAAGAGCTTTATAGGTGAGGAGGAGGATTTTAAATTCTATTCTACATTTTACAGGGAGCCAATGCAGAGAAGCTAGTACAGGAGAGATGTGATCTCTTTTTCTAGTTCCTGTCAGTACTCGTGCTGCAGCGTTCTGAATTAATTGGAGCGTCTTAATGGACCCTAACCCTTTGCTTTAACTGGCGGGTTTGGTGGTTATACCAAGGTGCTAGTCTCCTATGTTTTAATATTTTTCTTTTTATAGGAGCATTAGAGTCTAATGTTGATCGTAGTGAGCCTGCAGCACTATTAACAAGATTATCAATTTGGGAGGGACTAAAGTTATTATAGGATTCTGTTAAATTCAGACATGGCATTGAATTATAAACTGATGGAATCTCCTCCTTAAATTTAGCTACTTACATCTGCTGTTGGAAGTTTTGCCTAATGGCTTATAATATAGTAATATGAAATTCAAAAGTTATTAAATAATGGTCAGATAGAAAAGGGTTTTATGGGAAGACTATTAAATGTTCAATATCAATGCCATATGATAGAACAAGGTCAAGAGTGTGATTAAAACAATGAGTTGGTTTATTTACACTCTGACAGAAGCTAATTGAGTCTATTAATGATATAAATGCGTTACTAAGGCTGTCATTGTTAACATCCACATGAATATTAAAATCACCTACAATAATTACTTTATCTGATTTAAGGACTAAACTTGATAAAAACTCTGAGAATTCAGATATAAAATCAGAGTATGGTCCAGGAGCGCGGTACACTATAACAAGTAGAACTGGCTGCAGTGTTTTCCAGTTTGGGTGAGAAAGACTAAGAACAAGGTTTTCAAATGAATTATAATTTAGTTTAGGTTTAGGGTCAATTAAAACGCTCGAATCATATATGGCTGCTACTCCACCTCCTCGGCCGGTGCCTCGAGGAATGTGTCATGTGGGTCGTCCACTATTTGGACGACCCGCTTCGATTTCCACCTCCTCCCCACTGCATATCAAATTATCCTTGAGCAAGATACTGAGTCCATCATTGCTGCTGATGCTATTAGAGTCTGAACACAAACAATGATCCTCCTCAGGATCTCTGATGTCTCTGCATTGGTTACAATCAGACAGGCTGTGGGTGAAGTCAGACGGGCTGTGGGCGGAGGTCCGAGGGACTGTAGGCGGAGGTCAGACGGGCTGTGGGAAGAGGTCAGGCGCTTTCAACAGTTCCTGAGAGTAAGGTGGGTGACTTTACAACTGTGGTGGACCAGTCTCAGACCAGACACTACAGTAACATTATCCCAGATCACAACAGACCTGGAATGCCCGTCTGTGTTGTTATCATCATCATCATCATCATCATCATGATCATCATCATTATTATTATTATTATTATCATTATTAGTGTGTGTAATGACGTGTGCATCCTGCAGGAGGCACGGACACGTTTACTGTTTTTAATAAGAGAAAATAAACAGTTAGTGATTCAGTTCAGTCTGAAAGTTAAATAGAGCAGAAACATCAACATACACACACACACTCTTGTTTCCACACAAACAGAAATAAAGTTTAATTAACCCTGAATGAAGCTCTGATGACAAATCTGTCAACATCTGCCTGCAGGTGTATGTGTGTCTTGATCACTTTAACGAATATTCCTGCATGCACAATATCATCAATATCATCAATATCATAACTTCACTGTGACTCAAAGATGAGAAAAACACTTTTTTCAGGCTGTGAGTCAAATCACTGTCAGTGTTGGTTCATTAATGTTTTTTCATTCATATATTTCATTTATAAATGTTAATAATAATTAATATATTAATAATATTAATATAATATCCATAGATATGTTTTCATTAGTGTTTAATCAGCTGATAATAAGAATCATTGTGTGTTCGTTACCTTAGAATGAGATGTTTTTATCTACAGAGCGAGCGGGTCGTCTTCTGGCAGAGTCCGCCATAAGAGGGGTTATAACCGCCATGTTGCTACAGTAGCTCAGAATGAACAAACCTAACACTGAATCTAGTTAGACACTTACACATTGAAGACTGAGCTGTATTCAGAACCACCACACACACACACACACTCATTTTAATGTGATGTGACAGTTTCTGAGGATTGGCATTTCTGAGCCTCCTGGTTGAGCCTGAAGGTGGGGTTGGGGGGGCATCAGAGAGGTACCAGCTGACAGGAAGTGACAGGGTGGAGATGAAGCATTAATCTGTTGACTCTCCCTTTCAGACGCTCCGCTGGGTTTAATGAACATACTGAATGTTTGTTTTTATAAAGTTTATTTCTGTATGATAGACGCTTAATAAAGTTTATACATCATTCATATTACTATATATATTATATTTATATATTGTATTACATATTATATATAATGTATATGTTATATTTACTATATATATTTATCTCACCTGTGTGTCAAACTGAAACAATCAAAATCTCTTAATCGTGTTTCACAGTGTTAAACGGAATCATTGTATGATATATAGTTTAAAGCAGATGCTCAGTGAAATCTCTCTGTTTATCATACAGAACATCTACTACACTTCTATCAACAACACACAATACATGTACTAATAATAATAAAACTAGTTATGGTTCAAAGGGATGGGCTGCTGTGTGTGTGTGGTGATGAAGATTACTTTTCATCAGTCTCTCTTGTCTTTATTGGGTCGACAGAAACAATCAGCTCGTCCTCTGCTGCACTTCACACAGACACACTAAGGCCTTTTCTCAGCATGCTGTCTGATCAGGTGCATGCTGAAGACAAGAAAGAACTCCAGGGAAGAAGTAACAACAGTAACATGCATTAATGGGACATGAATGTGTGCAGTAAGAGAGAGAGAGAGGAAGAGAGGAGCTCAGTGCATCATGGAAAATCCCCCAATAGTATAGGCCTATAGCAGCATAACTAGAACCACAATGCATTCTGGGAGGATACAGGGTACTGTGAACATCTGAGACCAGATCAGCTGCAGGCCGTCAGAGCTCAGAACACCTGAGACTCATCAGTCTCTGGGGAGGAGGGGGGGCCTGATCCCTGAGGCTCCGCCCCTCTACACACCTGAGACTCACTGCTGTGAGAGCCTTTAGACTCAACCATCAAAGACTCACATAATTAGATCTGATCAATCACATTGATCCTATACACAGCTGATCACTGATCACAGACTTGATCACTGACTTCTCTCAGTGTCGACTGTGAGACAGTAAAGGAGAACTACCTGTCGTTCTTCTGTGATCAATCAGTTTAATTATCAATAAATCTGATCAGTTTAGCTACCAAGCTCCTCTCTTGTGGAACCAGCTTCCAGTTGTGGTTCGGGACGCAGACGCCCTCACCACATTCAAGAGTAGGCTTAAGACATTCCTCTTTGATAAAGCTTATAGTTAGGGCTGGATCAGGTGAGTCCTGAACCATCCCTTAGTTATGCTGCTATAGGCCTAGACTATCGGGGGATTTCCCATGGTGCACTGAGCTACTCTCTTCCTCTCTCTTTCTGCACTCATTCATGTCCCATTAATGCATGTTACTAACTTCACTTCTTCCCCGGAGTTCTTGTGCTTTCTCGTCTCACAGGTTCTTATCGATCCTGGTGGAGCCTCCTTCCATGGTCCTGTTTGACTGCCATTGCTAATATCATTGATATTATTGTAATTATTATTATTATTATTATTAATATTAATATTATTATTACTACAATTGCTATTATTACTATTGTCACTGCTCATCCTCCCCCATCGTTGCTGTTGTCATAGTAATCATCTTCTTCATGTTCATCATCAGTCACTACTATTAGTGTAGTTGTTGCTACTGTTGTTGCTATGCACCTCTGTCTGTCTGTCTGTCTGTCTGTCTGTCTGTCTCTCTCTCTCTCTCTCTCTCCCACCCACCTAGAGCCGAAGGGTCTGTCTGAGGTTTCTGCCTCTTAAAAAGGCAGTTTTTCCTTGCACCCGTCGCCAAGGTCTTGCTCATGGTGGGTACTGTTGGGTCTCTGTAATTAATGTTTTAAAGAGTTCGGTCTAGACCTGCTCTATTTGAAAAGTGTCCTGAGATTACTTCTGTTATGAATTGGCGCTATACAAATAAAACTGAATTGAATTGAATTGAATCAGTTAATTTGATTGTGTTAATTTACTGTTGTTTGTTTGTTTGAAAAGAAAAAAAAACAGAAGAACTCAGTTTTTGTCCTTTCACAATAAATGCTCAAAAAGAAAGGTTTTGTTGTTTGTCTGTCTGTCTGTCCTGCTGTTTGATGTAAAGGTCGAGGAGTCCAATCCTCCTTCAGGTCCTCAGGGACGATTACACACACACACCCACACACACACACACACACACACACACACACACAACGCATCTGCAGGAGATCACTTCCTCCTCAGCTTTGACCTTTAGTGTGAAGATGACCTTCAGACGAAGCTTCTGACTGGTTCATCCTCCTGAGCTTTCAGTTCACATCAGCGGACTTCATCTGACACACACACACACACAGTGACGTAAACCTTATTTTATAAAGTCTAATATCACAGATCTGTCCTCAGAGCTTCGAATCTGAAAATCACAGGATGGACTGAGTGGTCCTGTCTTCCTGGTCCCGTCTTCCTGGTCTCTTCCCTAACCCTCCTGGTCCCGTCCTCCTGGTCTCCTCCCTACCCCTCCGGGTCCGTCCTCGTTCCCGTCCTCCTGGTCCCGTCTTCCTGGTCCCATCTTCCTGGTCTCTTCCCTAACCCTCCTGGTCCCGTCGTCCTGGTCTCCTCCCTAACCCTCCTGGTCCCATTCCCTGGTCCCATCCTCCTGGTCCCGTCCTCCTGGTCCCGTCCTCCTGGTCCCGTCCTCCTGGTCCCATCCTCTTGGTAAAGAATTAAGTTGGCATTGAGGCTGTAGGTGAGCTCACCAGAGGAGGAGGAAATATTAAAGTAAAAGTACTAATACCAACCCCACTGTGAAAATACTGCAGTACAAATATTCGGAACCTCACTGAGGTAAAAGTCTTACGGGCACTCGGTTAGCTCAGTTGGTAGAGCTGGCAACCCATATATAGAGTTGCTGCAGCAGCCAGGGTTCGAATCCAACCTGTGGCCCTTTGCTGTGTGTCTTCCCCCCCTACCCACCTTTCCTGTCTATCTTCAGCTGTCACTATCTAATGAAGGCATGAAAAGGCCCAAAAAAATAACTTCATGGATTAATTTTACTGCTGCATTAAGGTCGAGGTCACTTTCTATGCACTATATATAACATGGATAGTTTTGCCTCTTGGTGTCCCAATAAATCTGTATTTACTTATTTACCTAAAAATGACTAAATTCCAGGCCTGATGTACGTAATACTAAGTAATATATAAATATCATATAATACAACATAAAGTGTGATAACAGAAACAGATGAATAAGAACCACTGATGTAGAAGAGACTACAGCAGCATTAATAATACTGATGTTTCATGTGAACCCCCCACCCACACACACACACACAAAGGAGGAGGAGCCACCCCCCCCACACACACAGGCACAGGAGGAGGAGCTGACCCCCCCCTGCCGCCTAGAGTGAATGGGGTCTTTGTAACAGACGGGCGAGCGAGAGACAGTAAGACTCTGAGCTAAGTTCATCTTCCTCCAACCAATAATCAGTGAACAGTCAGAGCTGGTTACTGATCAATAATCAGGGAACCTGTCAATCAAACAGAGGATTCGTGGATCAGCAGCTAGGCGGTAAGATTTTATTTCTGAGATCCAACTTGTAGTTTATAATCAGATGAACATGTTTGTCCCTGTGTGGACACCTTACATTAAATACTGTATTATAATAATATATAATATGTATATTATATATATAATATATATAATATATGTAGTATATTTGTTTATTTTCAGAATGGAAAAAAGAAAAGAAAATATTTCAGGTCATAATTCTGAAGATTTATAACAACAATAAAAACATTTAAAGAGAAACTGTTTTGTTTTAGGTTAAATTATATTAACAAGTGCCGTTGTTCATAACTTCATCATCATCATCATTATCTTCATCATCATCATCAGTCATTTCTATTAGTATAGTTGTTGTGCATCTCTCTCTCTCTCTCTCTCTGTCTCTGTCTCTCTCTCTGTCTCTCTGTCTCTCTCTCTCTATCCCTCTGTCTCCCTCTCTCTGTCTCTCTCTGTCTCTCTCTCTCTATCCCTCTGTCTCCCTCTCTCTGTTTCCCTCTGTCTGTCTCTCTCTGTCTCTCTCTCTCTATCCCTCTGTCTCCCTCTTTCTGTCTGTCTCTCTCTGTTTACCTCTCTCTGTCTGTCTCTCTTCTCTCTCTGTCTCTCTCTCTGTCTCTCTTTCTGTCTCTGTCTTTCTCTCTGTCTGTCTGTCTCTCTCTCTCCCTCTGTCTCCCTCTCTCTGTCTGTCTGTCTGTCTGTCTGTCTGTCTGTCTGTCTGTCTGTCTCTCTGTTTCCCTCTCTCTGTCTGTGTCTCTGTCTCCCTCTGTCTCTCACCTCTCTCTGTCTGTCTCTCCCTCTCTCTCCCTCTCTTTGTCTCTCTCCCTCTCTATCTCTCTTACCCCAACTGGTCGAGGCAGACGGGGTATGTCCGAGGTTTCCTGTCTCTTAAAAGGCAGTCTTTCCTTGCTGCTGTCTCCAAGATCTTGCTCATGGTGGGAACTGTTGGGTCTCTGTAAATAATGTTATAAAGAGTACAGTCTATAAATATTAATAATTTATAAATATACTGATTAATGATATATTTCAGGTGTTAGTGTCACAGTGATACAGAGGAAGTAAGCTTGGCAGTCTGAACTTCAAACTGTCTCTTCATTGGATAGTTTGGAGTCTCTTTGTTGGACAGTTTGGACATGTCCTTATTGCTGTTTTTCTCCTCAGAGATGAACTGTCTCTGGTTTCTGAGCATGCTCAGTATGTTTGTCCTGTCACCGTGGGAGGAGACAGGCTGTGTGGCGATGACCCTGAACTCTGCCCCCCTTCGTCACGTGTCAGGACGTACAGCAACAGAAAGTGATAAAGGACAAGGAGGAAGAGGAGGCGTCAACTCCCACCACAGGAGCAGGAGAAGCTGGGTTTGGAACCAGTTCTTTGTCCTGGAGGAGTACACCGGAGATGAGCCGCTGTACGTTGGGAAGGTATGAACACATTTAATATCAATGATCTATAATCCATTACACAGTGTATAAACTCTAGAGCTATGTAGTTGATCAATAATCAGTAATCAGAAGCTGTCATACATTGACTGTTTACCATCCACTGTTTAGATCTTGGCACACTATGCAAGATTTTTACCTTAATATAACAGGTTCGAAGTCATTTCGATGGTAAACGAACTCGTAGTATAGTGAATCATCCCAATAGCAAAGCTGGAGAAGGACGCCGTTGGCAGAACCAGCAATGCAAGTCTGAAAGGTGGCGCCCCGCCAAATCTCGCGAGAATCATGCTTTATGGCGCAACGTCACATACATCGGCGACATAAGAAGCAGCCTCAATAGAAGACACTAGCAGGCATTCACTCAGACGTTACCTGGTCAGTAGACATCTTCAGAGTCTATCTTTGCCTGTTCGATGTCCGACGCTTCCATCCTACTGAACTTGTACCGGTATACAGGGGGGAGGGGATCAGGCCGTGAGTGCAGAGACGCAGAGCCGTGTATAGAGACGGCTCTGGTTAGTGGTATTTACGACAGTTAACGTTAAATACAAGTACTCTGCAGCGACTCTAGGGGTAACTGTTTGACAAAACCGGAAAACTGCATAGTATGCCTTTAACTTTAGATCTGGATCTTAAGTTATCAGAGAAACAAGCTGAGCTAACGTTAGCATTAGCTCGGGTCGCAGCCCCTCTGGGACGTCCTTTGTCTGTCCAACAGTGTGGGAGAAGCAGTGATTTTTAAGGTGGAACTGCTTTATTCAGTGTTTGTAGTGGTTTTAATCAGCTGGTCTGTTTGTTTTGGAGAGGAGGAGGCTGCCTTACCACCATCACACTTTATCTTTTCTTATTGTTTGGATATGAGAGAGCCCCTAGTGGCAGAAACTACACACTGTACCTTTAATATTAACTATAATGATAGATTAATCAATCACTAATAATAATAATCAGAACTGAGAATCAGTCCTTTATTTCACTTTATTTTATCTCATTATTATCTCTCTCTCTCTCTCTCTCTCTCTCTCTCTCTAGTCATCTCCATCTGTTCTTCATCTGAAATCACTGACACTTATCTGATTATGTTGATCAATGATGATGGAACCTCAGATCTGATTTGGTCTCTGATTGGACGATACAGCTGTGCCTGTACTGTGAGAGACACACAGAGCACGCTATGGCTGTCTGACTAACACACTGAGATTTAGACAACAGATTCAACCTGACATATCACTCTGTGTGTGTGTGTGTGTGTGTGTGTGTGTGTGTGTGTGTGTGTCAAACATGGAGCACTTCAGAACCATGTTACAGTTACAAGTTGTTTCTGGAGTATAACCCGTTGTCTCTGGAGGTTTACCAGTTGTCTCTGGAGGTTTACCCGTTGTCTCTGGAGGTTTACCAGTTTTCTCTGGAGGTTTACCCGTTGTCTCTGGAGGTTTACCCATTGGCTCTTGTGGTTTACCTGATTCTCTCTGGTCTCTGCAGCTCCACTCTGATGTGGATAAAGGTGATGGTCAGGTGAGGTATGTTCTGAGCGGTGAAGGAGCAAAGTCCATTTTCACCATCGATGAGAACACAGGAGACATTCACGCCACCAAAAGGCTGGACCGAGAACAGCAGGCATACTACACCTTAAGAGCTCAGGCTCGACACCGAAAGACTAACCTGCTGGTCGAACCTGAGTCCCAGTTCATCATCAAAGTCCAGGACATCAATGACAACGAGCCCAAGTTCCTGGAGGGACCGTACACCGCCAGGGTGGCTGAGAGGTCTCCTGTAGGTGAGTCTGAACACCTCCAGTCTCACTGATCCAGGACTTTATCAACTGCTGACCTGTGAAAGGTTATTCTAAAAGGAAAACTGGAGACAAAGAAAGAATCAGTTTATTTGTAGTGCATATTTTAAAACTATAAATACTGTTTATGAAGGTTGTGAATGAAAACAAGTAAACAAATACAACAAAATGCTTTCTTTCTGCTATTTAAATAAGTATGATATAAACTGTGTGTAATGAGAGAAATATTGTCGTCCAGAAGCTAAAGTTTCATCAGCTCAATGTTAATTAGATGAGCAGTGAATCGTTAGAGAGAACAAGCACAAAACAGCTTCACTTATCCTCATTCAGCAATTTTTACTGATGTTCCATTAGTTTCGTACATTAATTTGCAGCATATGTTGAACGTAAGAGTATTCACACAAATAAAAATCTGCATCAATCAAGATAGATATTCCTTTATTTGTCCCACAATGGGGAAATTCCAATGTAACAGCAGCAAAATGGATAGAGAAAAAACTGTATAAATAAACAGTAAGAGTATGGAAATAATAAAAACACTATGTACAAGAGAAAAAACAAAAGTGATTATAATTGTGAAACTATACCCAGTTCACCCCCCTCCAAGACCCTCCCAACCATCCCCACTTGTCCCACAGCTTCACTTATCCATGTTCTACAAGCTGCTGCTCTTAATGTGAAAATTAGACTTCAAACCTACTCTTGATTTGAAAAAATTTGTTCAAAGCGGCTGTTCAGACTTTAAACAGGCTCTTAATGTGAAAATAATTTATTATATGTATTTGATATGATTGCTATTGTCTACATTAAAACAAATGGTATTCTATATTTTCATGATTTCATCAATCATTTTTAGATGTTACATGTTTAACCAAATTTAATCAATTGAGGAACAGTAGCAACAGCTGATAAAGAAATAGTGTGATCCCCTCAGTTTGTTAAAGAAAGTTGTATATTTAATAACTTCTGTACAGGTATGTCAGTGGTGACGGTGGTAGCGACAGACGCTGATGATCCGACTTATGGAAACTCTGCCAGACTGATTTACAGCATCCTGCAGGGTCAGCCATACTTCTCTGTGGAGCCAAAGACAGGTGACAATGCACCTGACCACATCTGAACACACCTGACACCCAAATACAACAATTAAGCAACAGCTTAACTGAAGAACTTAACTTAGACTGGTTTTTTTTATGTCTCCAGGATAAAATGAAAACGTGTGAATAATATTTAAAGCTGTGAACTCAATGATGATGTCTCCAGTTTATATAAACCTATTTACTCCCTCTCCTCACCCTTCTTCACCCACTCTATCTGCAGCAGACATTAACCTGTAAATGTTCCTGAAATATGTTTATGGTTCACAGAGAGCCGAATGAACTCATCCTCCTCTGCAGAGCCACAGATTAAAAGAGATCACGAGTGTGTGTGTGTGTGTGTGTGTGTGTGTGTGTGTGGATTATTTGATTATAAACAGCTTCAGCCTCATCTGCTCTAAATCATCCATGTATTTAACCTCAGTATCATCAGAGGTCACATGATGTGTTCACTTCCTGTTGAGTCTGATGTGTTCATGGAATGATGATGAAATCACTTTATTGTCGGTTATAGAGGGCTTTATGAACCAGGACTCAGAGTCCTTGCAGCTCCTTATGAATCCAGTCTGTCCTTCTTCAGCTATCACAAACAAGCTTTCTTGTGTCCAAGTGCTTGCTCATGGTAGGAACTGTTGGGTCTCTATTTGAAAAGTGTCCTGAGATAACTTCTGTTATGAATTGGCGCTATACAAATACATTGGAATTGAAATTGAATTGAAATTATTTACTCATTCAGTCAAATGTTATTAGTAGTGTTTCATAATTGATATAATCATATTATAAATATTATATTTATTTCATATGTTTCAGGACAGTGGTCAGTGCTATAGATACAGGGCATAGGTCAGTGCTGTAGATACAGGTCAGAGGTCTGTATTGTCTATTTGATCAATACAATAGTAACAATAATGATTATAACTGTTTATTATAGTCATTATTAATATAATAATAATAATAGTAGTAATAATAATAATAATAATAATAATATACTTTATTGTCCTTCACAGGAAATTTGTTACCTACATACATAGATACGAAAAAAGAGAAAAACACATATGGACACGGCGACATAACAACAAGAATAAACACTTAATACAGCACATTTGGCACATTTACCCCTCCCTCACGGCTATTATGTTTAGAGATGCTATGGCAGAAGGAACACAACACCTGCCATAGTGAGCATGTTTACAGGCCACAGTCCTGTATCTGCGTCGGGATGGCAGCAGTTCGAATAATGAGTTGAGGGGGTAATATAATATAATAGGTAATTTGACCCATCTTGACTTTTTGTTTCATATTTTCATATTCTTATTATTATCATTTTTCCTTGTCTGTTTTTTGGACCTTCTCACATATTTTACACATAATTTTAATTTACACTTTATACATGCAAGTGTATTAGTCTCATTCTGACCATTATTCATCTTCAGTAGAAGAAACATTTTTGTAGAAGATGAAGATATACCTTATTAAGGTGGAAAGATAGGCTGCCACGAAGGGGCACTCCAGGAGCAGTTGGGGTTAAACAACACTCCACGTGCTTTGCTCAAGGGCACCTCAGCAGTGTACCAGAGGGGGTGAAACTGGCCACTCTCCTGTTACCAGTCCACTCTCCATACTATGGTCTGTGCTGGACTTGGACCAGCAACCTTCTGGTTCCCAAGCTAAGTCTCTACATACTGAGCTACTGCTGCCACGTACAGTTCCTTGGATGAGGAATATCACTCATATAGGCCACGCCCATTCACACCTTAAAAACATTCTTTAATAAAACCCTACCATAACTCTTGAACACAGTATTGAATTACAACCAATTGTGGGATGGATCTTCTGACCTGAATCACAAACACTTTTTTCTGAGACTCTTTCAGAAGCTGTTGCAGAGAGCTGCAATAACAGTAGTAGACGAAATCACAGAAATCAGACACATTTTCTATTTTGAGGTCTGTTGTGTTATTTTAGTGAAATGTAATTTAAAATCTTCCATACTGAATCAAGCATTTATATCAAGTTTGTTGTTTATTAAACCTGAGTCTCACTTGTCTTGCAGGTGTGGTGAGGACAGCTCTTCCTGACATGGACCGGGAGGTTCGGGACCATTACCTGCTGGTGGTCCAGGCCAATGACATGATTGGTCAGATGGGAGGTCTGTCAGGAACCACCTCGGTCACAGTGGTCCTGACGGACGTCAACGACAACCCACCTCGCTTCCCCCGCAGTGAGTCTGACCTCTGATCTTTACATATGACATCATCATACACTGACACTGAATGCCTGTGTTTACCTTTGAGTATACCTGTGTGTGTACCTGTGTATACCTGTGTGTAACTGTGTGTACCTGTGTGTATCTGTGTATACCTGTGTGTACCTGTGAGTGTACATGTGTGTAACTGTGTGTACCTGTGTGTGCACCTGTGTGTACCTGTTTATACTTGTGTGTACCTGTGTGTACCTGTGTATACCCACGTGTAACTCTGTGTGTACCTGTGTGTGTACGTGTGTAACTGTATATCTGTGTGTACCTGTGTGTATACCTGTGTGTGTACCGGTGTGTGTACCTGTGTGTACCCGTGTGTACCTGTGCGTACCTGTGTGTACCTGTGTGTTTACCTGTGTGTGTACCTGTGTCCCCACAGAAAGCTACCAGTTCGGTGTTCCAGAGTCTGTACTGGTTTCAGCTGTGGTCGCTAGGATTAAAGCTCTGGATCTGGATGTTGGTCCAAATGCTGAGATGGATTACAGGATCCTGGATGGAAATGGACTGGGGACCTTCAGGATCATAACTGATCCAAACACACAGGAAGGACTGGTCACACTACACAAGGTACTGGATAGTCTACTGAAGGTACTAGCTACACCACTGAAGGTACTGGTTTCCTTTACCCTTACTTACAACAGACACTGGTTTCCTTGTAGCAGGAACTGCTGAAGTTACTGGCCACCAGTTTCTACTAGAGATGTTTGCCAGAATCAATGTTCTTGTTTTTGTGTCATTCTGATTGTTTTTTGAAGTGAAACTGTTCGGGAGGATGAACTAAGTGGGTTTGAATATACCGCTCTGTCAGCACTGTGCTGGATTATATATCAGTCCCAGAGGAGGCAGCTGCTGCTCAACAGCAGCTGACAACCTTCAGCACATTATTTAAATGTAGACTGATGTCAGTGAAGCACACAAAGTCAAAATGATCCCAAAGCAAACTCCTTTTAAAAAGTTTTATTAAAAGTCTTGAGAACATATTTTTAGTAATGTAACAGCTTGTTCACACTGCCGGCGTCTTTGCGATCTCTGCGTGGTGTCTGGGTGCCCTCTGCGTGTGTCTCAGCTGCATCTGCAGCGATGCTTCACTAGAGTCGAGATCTTGTCTATTTTTACCACGAGTCTCCCAGCAAAAAAGGGCAGCGAAATGGTCTGTAGGTAGTCATATCCACATATTAATAGTTTAAACTTCCTTTTTAAAACACTGTAGTAATTTAACATGACTTCAATTGTCAGCAAACCACACATGCTTTCCGGTTACCACTCAATACATGGCATTGTAAATTAAATGATATGACAGTATATGGGGAAAAGTGTATAGGGAAATATAGGGCTGGCAGCAGCAGCCACGCAGCTGACACGCTGTCTGTGAGAATGCCGCAGATACACTGCTTAGGCAGGCTTTGTGAACGAAGTGTAAGTTGTGTCTGTTTAACCAACAAGACACATGATGAGATAATGAGCCTGAAAACAAAAATATTAAAACGTTATTTCCTGAGAAGAAGTTCAATTCAATTCAATTCAATTTTATTTGTATAGCGCCAATTCATAACAGAAGTTATCTCAGGACACTTTTCAAATAGAGCAGGTCTAGACCGAACTCTTTAACATTAATTACAAAGACCCAACAGTACCACCATGAGCAAGCACTTGGCGACAAGGGCAAGGAAAAACTGCCTGTTAAAAGGCAGAAACCTAGGACAGATCCTCCGGCTCTAGGTGGGTGGTCGTCTGTCTCGACCAGTTGGGGTGAGAGAGAGAGAGAGAGAGAGAGAGAGAGAGAGAGAGAGAGAGCGAGAGACAGACAGACAGACAGGTGCACAGCAACAACAGTATTGGCAATGGTAGTCAAGCAGGACCATGGCAGGAGGCTCCACCAGGATCCATGAGAACCTGCGAGACGAGAAAGCACAAGAACTCCGGGGAAGAAGTGGAGTTAGTAACATGCATTAAAGGGACATGAATGAGTGCAGAAAGAGAGAGGAAGAGAGTAGCTCAGTGCACCATGGGAAATCCCCCGATAGTCTAGGCCTATAGCAGCATAACTAAGGGATAGTTCAGGACTCACCTGATCCAGCCCTAACTATAAGCTTTATCAAAGAGGAATGTCTTAAGCCTACTCTTGAATGTGGTGAGGGTGTCTGCCTCCCGAACCACAACTGGAAGCTGGTTCCACAGGAGAGGAGCTTGGTAACTGAAGGCTCTGGCTCCTGTTCTACTTTTAGAGACTATAGGAACCACAAGTAGCCCAGCATTCAGAGAACGTAGTGTTCTAGTGGGGTAATAGGGTACTATGAGCTCTTTAAGATATGAAGGGGCCTGACCATGAAGAGCTTTATAGGTGAGGAGGAGGATTTTAAATTCAATTCTACATTTTATAGGGAGCCAATGCAGAGTAGCTAGTACAGGAGAGATGTGATCTCTTTTTCTAGTTCCTGTCAGTACTCGTGCTGCAGCGTTCTGAATTAATTGGAGCGTTTTAATGGACTTATTGGGGCAACCTGATAATAAAGAGTTGCAGTAATCCAGCCTTGAAGTAACAAATGCATGGATTAGTTTTTCTGCATCTGTCTGTGATAGTATGTGTCTAATTTTTCTAATATTACGTAAATGAAAGAAGGCAGTCCTAGAGGTCTGCTTTATGTGGGAGTTAAATGACAAATCCTGATCAAAGATAACTCCAAGATTCCTGACAGTGGTGCTAGAGGCCAAGTTAATGCCATCTAGAGTGACTATATCTTTAGACAATGAGTCTCTAAGGTTTTTGGGGCCAAGAACAAGAATTTCGTTTTTTTCTGAGTTTAACATCAGAAAATTGCAGGTCATCCAGGATTTTATGTCCTTAAGACATGTTTGTAATTTAGATAATTGATTAATTTCATTGGGTTTGATTGATAGATATAACTGCGTATCATCTGAAGTAGAGTGGTCATCACATCATTCAATCCCCCTTTCTCCCTCCAGACTCTGGACTTTGAGACTAAGTCGAGTTACACGCTGCGTGTCGAGGCGTCCAATCGTTATGTGGACACTCGTTTCCTGTCAATGGGTCCATTCAGTGATGTGACGACAGTTCATCTGCTGGTGCAGAACGTGGATGAGCCTCCAGTCTTTTCGTCCTCTGTCAGTCGGGTGGCAATCTCTGAGGCTGCTACAGTGGGAACTGTTGTGGGATCAGTTTCAGCTCATGACCCCGACACCACCAACAGCCCCATCAGGTACGAATATCAACACTTTGATACAGAGACAACAGCACTTCTGGTTTTAACCACATCATCAAATACTGCCATTTGGTTAGTGCCCCTCTGCCTCAAAATACGGTAAATGGACCTGTACTTGTATAGCGCCTTTCTAGTCTTCCATCCACTCAAAGCGCTTTTACACTACAGCCACATTCACCCTTTCACACATCATTCACACATCCATTGAATAGACTCACTCAGACTCACTCATTCAGACTCAATCATTCACATGCACATTCACATGCACAGCATCAGGAGCAATTTGCTCAAGGATACTTTGACATGCAGCCGGAGGAGCTGGGGGTCGATATATATGACATATATAAATGACACTGTAGGTTTCCCTCCCACAGGAGCACACTGCCTGGAGAATTTAAGTCAAAGATATAAATTGCCTTGAAACACACATCAACTGCTCCAAAGCCCATCCCTCCAGAATGACACATAGTGGAGAGGAGCGCCGGCATCTCCCAGTGTCAGGATGTGAGGGAACGACCTCCTCACCTCAATTTGTTGCCATGTTCCAACCTAAGAAAGACAGAAAGAAAAGAAAGTAAAGATCAAGCTAAAAAGCAAAGCGTAAGCAGGATAACAGAATACTAAGTTTGGGTGTAACAATATTGATCCTTCATTAAATTCAGTGACATGGCAACGTTTCATATAAAGCTCAATAGTGCACGTTTTCAACCAAAACAACTACAGTGTGCCATATGTGCTGCTCAGCATTATAAACACACTGAACTGGCCAACATATCTGGAAGACCAGTTTTCCACAAAGTAAGAGCCGTCACATATTTGTCATGCCTGCTTAGTGACGACACAACCCTGTACTGGACCCCCTGAATTTAGTGCAGGTTCTGATGTATTTACTTTAAATATCCAACATTGTACTTACAAGTCAGTGAAGGCCATGCTAGACTCCTCAGTGCTATGCTGGAACACTAAGAGCCTACGAGTTCCCACTGGGCGTCTGTGGGAAGACAATTTATCAGGTATGAGTTAAGATGTTGATAGGCATACCTGTGATTTGGACATTTACATGAGTAACCAAATATAATAAAACCTACACTAATACTGATATTTGCAAACTGGGTAAAAAACCTTTTTACTATTTTACCCAGTGTCATTTCTTCTATGAAGAAATCCCTCCTGCCAGGTGCAGGATCTTCTCTGTATACACAGGCAGCCATGTTTCAGACTGTTTGGTGCAGACTCTCTGTGCAAACCAGGAAAGTCCGGTGCAAACTAAAATCTTAGTGCTTGATACAATTTTGAAACTGTAAAGTAAGCAACAGTTATACTAAACTCTACTCACAATACCTCTAGATCTATCTATCTATCTATCTATCTATCTATCTATCTATCTAAAGAATGGAAAACAATATTATAACATGAGTCAGTACTTTTAGTATTTAGTCAGAGAGCTTGGCTGGTATTGTGAGCGTGAGTGTAATATAACTGCTGCTTACTTTACAGTTTTAAGATTGTATAAAGCACTAAGATTAATAAAGGTCTGTTATATAAAGTTACCTCTGTGAAAGCAATCGGCTTTACTGTTAACATAACAGTAGTTTCATTCATCATTTCAATGTCTCCGTACATATCTGCCACTGACTCAGGTTAACATACAGAGAAAGTCTCTCTGGCATAAAACACTAACTAAGAGCTAACAAGCACCTGTCTGTAAGGTTAATACACAACAGGAAAATAGCTTGTAGAAGCTCACACTGTCAATTATAGAGCCACTGGAGGAATCCCAAACACTGCAGTACAACTAAAGAAACATACCGTTAACTACCGCTAGCTAGGAATGACTGTTTTACTATACCGGCCCAAATTGAATGTTACATGCTACAATGTCAGTAACAAGCACATCTGAAATAACCTTCAAAACCATAATGGAAGTCTGGTGTGCCGTTAGGCAGCCCTGCTAACAATACATGATGTCTATTATGGATTTTCTTACAAATACAATTTAGTTGGTGGATTATATAAATGCAGAATTTACCGCAAGAGTTTCATGAGAGGTGTCTGGCGTTATGTTCCAGATTGTATTTTCAGTAACATTTAAGGGACAAACAAAAGAGCCCGATATGAGAGTAAAGTCAGGGTGTGGCTCTCAATGTTAGCTAAAACTCACAGACCAAAAGCTGGTGTAAGCTTTATTTTGAAAGTCTAACCAGATGTTGCATATTTATGGTTGCTAACTTGTCCTGCACGTCCAGAAATGATAGAGCTACTTAGAGCAACATACGTTGAGGCAGAGGGCCCCTGACAGTGGTAGTATTTAAAGAGCTGGAAGTGAGACTGTGTTGGTATAACAGTGTCATACCTGTGCGCAGGTACTCTATAGACAGGAAGTCGGATGTGGAGCGTTACTTTAACATTGACAGCAGTTCAGGTGTGATCACAACGGCCAGACCTCTGGACAGAGAGATCATTGCTCTACATAACATCACCATCCTCGCCACAGAGAGCCGTGAGTCCAAACCTCATTATCACTTTATTTTCTAAAGAGTTCAAGAGAAACATTGTTCTACTGGGACGACACCAGTATACCCAGTACATAGTAACGGTGGTTCTATGAATTAATTCACTTACTCTTTATATAAACTACACTCCACACCTACCTATATACAGCCACTCTCTGTCTGTTCCTTCTCTACTGACCCTCCATCAAGACCACTGTATCTGGGTCCGGTCAGGCCTCTCAGAGCAGACAAACGCTGGGTCTCAGGGGAGGAATTTGTACATGAATGGTCATCAGTGCACCTAAATCGAAGTGCTTTACATGCTGCTTGTCTGACCAACCAGGAGCAGTTTGGAGTCAAACATCAGGTCACTGTCTTCTAAAGCTGTTCTAGTTAATGAATTAATATCAGATTATGACATTGATTTACTTTGTCTTACTGAGACCTGACTGTGCCAAGAAGAGTATGTTAGCCTAAATGAATCCACCCCCCCAGTCATATTAATACTCACATTCCTCGAAGCACCGGCCAAGGAGGAGGAGTAGCAGCCATATATGATTCAAACCTTTTAATTGGTCCTAAACCTAAACTAAATTATAATTCATTTGAAAGCCTTGTTCTTAGTCTTTCTCACCCAAACTGGAAAACACTGCAGCCAGTTCTGTTTGTTATAGTGTGCTGCGCTCCTGGTCCGTACTCTGATTTTCTATCTGAATTCTCAGAGTTTTTATCAAGTTTAGTCCTTAAAACAGATAAAGTAATTATTGTAGGTGATTTGAATTTTTCTCAGTTTGTACATGGTGATGATGAATCCTCAATAAACACTAAAGTTAATCATGGAGTTCCACAAGGTTCTGCGCTTGGATCACTTCTATTCACCAGCTCTTCATGGCCAGGCCCCCTCATATCTTAAAGAGCTCATAGTACCCCCCCTAGAACACTGCCCGCAGTGTTCTATGTTGTTCCTATAGTATCTAAAATAAGTGTCACGACCTGGCTCTGGAGCCGTGACAAAAACGAGGAGACGCAGTTGAAAGGACAAATTATAAGTAATTTATTTAAACATAACAACCTAAATGCAACCTGAAAAAGAACTAAATAGAAGATGAGCTGTGTTTATCACTAACATTAGTAGTGAAAGTGTGTGTATGCATGAGTGTGATGTATAATGAAAAGTAAATGTTGGATGTTCAATTCAATTCAATTTTATTTGTATAGCGCCAATTCATAACAGAAGTTATCTCAGGACACTTTTCAAATAGAGCAGGTCTAGACCGAACTCTTTATAACATTATTTACAGAGACCCAACAGTACCACCATGAGCAAGCACTTGGCAACAAGGGCAAGGAAAAACTGCCTGTTAAAAGGCAGAAACCTAGGACAGATTCTTCGGCTCTAGGTGGGTGGTCGTCTGTCTCGACCAGTTGGGGTGAGAGAGAGAGAGCGAGAGAGAGAGAGACAGACAGACAGAATGACAGGTGCACAGCAACAACAGTATTGGTAATGGCAGTCTAGCAGGACCATGGCAGGAAGCTCCACCAGGATCGATAAGAACCTGCAAGACGAGAAAGCACAAGAACTCCGGGGAAGAAGTGAAGTTAGTAACATGCATTAATGGGATATGAATGAGTGCAGAAAGAGAGAGGAAGAGAGGAGCTCAGTGCACCATGGGAAATCCCCCGATAGTCTAGGCCTATAGCAGCATAACTAAGGGATGGTTCAGGACTCACCTGATCCAGCCCTAACTATAAGCTTTATCAAAGAGGAATGTCTTAAGCCTACTCTTGAATGTGGTGAGGGTGTCTGCCTCCCGAACCACAACTGGAAGCTGGTTCCACAGGAGAGGAGCTTGGTAACTGAAGGCTCTGGCTCCTGTTCTACTTTTGGAGACTATAGAAACCACAAGTAGCCCAGCATTCAGAGAACATAGTGTTCTAGAGTGGTAATAGGGTACTATGAGCTCTTTAAGATATTCAATTCAATTCAATTCAATTCAATTTTATTTGTATAGCGCCAATTCATAACAGAAGTTATCTTAGGACACTTTTCAAATAGAGCAGGTCTAGACCGAACTCTTTAAAACATTAATTACAGAGACCCAACAGTACCACCATGAGCAAGCACTTGGCGACAAGGGCAAGGAAAAACTGCCTGTTAAAAGGCAGAAACCTAGGACAGATCCTCCGGCTCTAGGTGGGTGGTCGTCTGTCTCGACCAGTTGGGGTGAGAGAGAGAGAGAGAGAGAGGCAGAGAGAGAGAGAGAGAGAGCGAGAGACAGACAGATAGGTGCACAGCAACAACAGTATTGGCAATGGCAATCTAGCAGGACCATGGCAGGAGGCTCCACCAGGATCAATAAGAACCTGCGAGACGAGAAAGCACAAGAACTCTGGGGAAGAAGTGAAGTTAGTAACATGCAACTATTGGGGCCTGTACTAGCTACTCTGCATTGGCTCCCTATAAAATGTAGAATTGAATTTAAAATCCTCCTCCTCACCTATAAAGCTCTTCATGGTCAGGCCCCTTCATATCTTAAAGAGCTCATAGTACCCTATTACCCCACTAGAACACTACGTTCTCTGAATGCTGGGCTACTTGTGGTTCCTATAGTCTCTAAAAGTAGAACAGGAGCCAGAGCCTTCAGTTACCAAGCTCCTCTCCTGTGGAACCAGCTTCCAGTTGTGGTTCGGGAGGCAGACACCCTCACCACATTCAAGAGTAGGCTTAAGACATTCCTCTTTGATAAAGCTTATAGTTAGGGCTGGATCAGGTGAGTCCTGAACCATCCCTTAGTTATGCTGCTATAGGCCTAGACTATCGGGGGATTTCCCATGGTGCACTGAGCTACTCTCTTCCTCTCTCTTTCTGCACTCATTCATGTCCCTTTAATGCATGTTACTAACTCCACTTCTTCCCCGGAGTTCTTGTGCTTTCTCGTCTCGCAGGTTCTCATGGATCCTGGTGGAGCCTCCTGCCATGGTCCTGCTTGACTGCCATTGCCAATACTGTTGTTGCTGTGCACCTGTCTGTCTGTCTGTCGCTCTCTCTCTCTCTCTCTCTCTCTCTCTCTCTCTCTCTCTCTCACCCCAACTGGTCGAGACAGACGACCACCCACCTAGAGCCGGAGGATCTGTCCTAGGTTTCTGCCTTTTAACAGGCAGTTTTTCCTTGCCCTTGTCGCCAAGTGCTTGCTCATGGTGGTACTGTTGGGTCTCTGTAATTAATGTTAAAGAGTTCGGTCTAGACCTGCTCTATTTGAAAAGTGTCCTGAGATAACTTCTGTTATGAATTGGCGCTATACAAATAAAATTGAATTGAATTGAATTGAATTAATTTCATTGGGCTTGATTGATAGCAATAACAGTGAAAGTTAATAATAATAATAATACATTCAATTATTAGAGGCGCCTCTCTGGGCACTCGAGGACACCGTACAACACAAAAAAAACAAACAAAAAAAAAAACAGCAAGAAATAAGAAACAGATAAGAAAAGACAATGTAGATGGTTAAGTGGGGTAGGCAGTTCTGAATAGGTGAGCTTTTAATCTTGATTTGAAGAGTGTGAGAGAGTCCAGGTTCCTGAGGTCCGGTGGGAGTGATTTCCAGAGTTGGGGGGCAGAGCGGCTGAAAGCCCTGCTCCCCATGGTGACGAGGCGGGCGGGAGGGACAGAGAGGTGGACAGAGGAGGCAGATCTGAGGGAACGGGAAGGGTTGGCGATGTGGAGGAGTTCGGACAGATAAGGAGGGGAGAGGTTGTGGATGGCCTTGAACGTGAATAGGAGGATGGAGTGATTCCTAATAATGTTGCCTAAAGGGAGCATATATAAAGTAAATAGTATTGGTCCAAGTACAGAACCTTGTGGAACTCCATGACTAACTGTAGTATTTATGGAGGATTCATCGTTAACGTGTACAAACTGAGAGCGATGAAGTATGACCTAAACCAGCTTAGTGCGGTTCCTTTAATGCCAATGTGATGCTCAAGTCTCTGTAAAAGAATATCATGGTCAATGGTGTCAAATGTAGCACTAAGATCTAATAATACAAGTACAGAGACAAGTCCATTGTCAGAAGCAATCAAAAGGTCATTATTAACTTTAACCAGAGCTGTCTCTGTGCTGTGATGAACTCTAAATCCTGACTGAAAATCCTCAAATAAGTTATTGTTATGTAGAAAGTCACACAACTGTTTGGCGACTACTTTTTCCAGAATCTTAGAGAGGAAGGGGAGGTTAGAGATTGGTCTATAGTTGCCTAAAACCCCTGGGTCCAGAGTGGGCTTTTTAAGAAGGGGTTTAATTACAGCTACTTAAAAGGATTGTGGTACATATCTTGATAATAAAGAAAAATTAATCACATCTAGTAAAGAAGTGCTAATTAAGGGTACAACTTCTTTAAGCAGCCTAGTTGGGAAGGGGTCTAACAGACAGGTTGATGGCTTCATTGAAGAAATTATTGAAGTTAAATGATGAAGATCGATAGCAGAAAACAGTCTAAATATATATATAATTTTACATTAGTTAAAGTTCCTGAACTTGGAGAGCCAGTGATAGCCGCTGAGGGCATTTGGTGATTAATTTAGTCTCTAATAGTAATATTTTTATTATAAAAGAAGCTCGTGAAGTCGTTGCTACTTAAGTATATGGGGATATGTGGCTCAATAGAGATGTGACTCTCTGTCAGCCTGGCTACAGTGCTGAAGAGGAACCTAGGGTTGTTCTTACTTTCTTTTATTAGTGTTGAGTAATAGGCTCCTCTGGCATTACGGAGGGCCTTTCTATAGGTTTTAAGGCTATCTTGCCAAATTGAGCGATAATTTGGAAGAGCGCCATTTCCTTTCAGATTTCCTAGCTTTTTGCTTTAATTGGCAGGTTTGGTGGTTGTACCACGTGCTAATCTCCTATGTTTTAATAATAACAAGATTATCAATTTGGGAGGGACTAAAGTTATTACAGGACTCTGTTATATTCAGACATGGCATTGAATTATACACTGATGATCTCCACCTTAAATTTAGCTACAGCACTGTCAGATAGACATCTGCTGTAGGAAGTTTTGCCCAATGGCTTATAATCTAGTAATATGAATTCAAAAGTTATTAAATAATGGTCAGATAGAAAAGGATTATGTGGGAAGTCTATTAAATGTTCAATATCAATGCCATATGATAGATCAAAGTCAAGACTGATTAAAACAATGAGTTGGTTTATTTACACTCTGACAGAAGCCAATTGAGTCTATTAATGAGATAAATGTGTTACTAAGGCTCTCATTGTCAACATCCATATGAATATTAAAATCACTAACAATAATTACTTTATGGAGTATGGTCCAGGAGCTCGGTACACTATAACATACAGAACTGGCTGCAGTGCTTTCCAGGTCGGGTGAGAAAGACTAAGAACAAGGGTGAGGTGAGGGCATAGTAATCAGCAATATGACCACTAGATGGCACTAAATCCTCCACACTGGACCTTAAGGAATCACTGCTATTAGTCCAACAATATTCAAAGGAGATGAGCTAGCTGTTTCCCATCTTTATGTTAAGCTAAGCTAACTGGCTGCTAGCTGCTAACAGGTGGACTCAATCTGAGGATTTCGCTAAATGTTGAACTGTTCCTTTAACTTCCTGTCTGTTCCCGGTTCTGACAGCTGAACAGACGTACCTGACAGGTACTCTCTGTGTGTGCGTTTGTGTCAGTGGATTGGTCTCAGGTGGGGAAAGCTTTGGTTCTGGTCTCGGTGATGGATGTGAATGATAACGCTCCAAACTTCGCCGCCAAGTACGAAACATTCGTCTGCGAGAATGCTGAACCTGGACAGGTAAATCTTCTTGTTGGTTGTTCTGATTTACAATCATTACTTACATCCTGCTAGATTGCCGTTGCCAATACTGTTGTTGCTATGCACCTGTCTGTCTGTCTGTCTCTCGCTCTCTCTCTCTCTCTGCCTCTCTCTCTCTCTCTCTCTCTCTCTCTCTCTCTCTCTCTCACCCCAACTGGTCGAGACAGACGACCACCCACCTAGAGCCGGAGGATCTGTCCTAGGTTTCTGCCTTTTAACAGGCAGTTTTTCCTTGCCCTTGTCGCCAAGTGCTTTCTCATGGTGGTACTGTTGGGTCTCTGTAATTAATGTTAAAGAGTTCGGTCTAGACCTGCTCTATTTGAAAAGTGTCCTGAGATAACTTCTGTTATGAATTGGCGCTATACAAATAAAATTGAATTGAATTGAATTGAATTACTGCTGTTTCTGTTGGCAGTTAACAGGCTGCTGTTAATAAATCACCAACGTTATTTGAATAAAAAATAAATATTAAATAAAATATTGGCTTTAACTAACAATTACTATCTTTAGCCCTATTCTACTGTAGCCTCCATTCTGTCACACTGGGAGGGTGAAGTGCGGGTCCTACACACTGAACCTTTAAATGATTCTCAGCTTCAGTGTCATCGTTCATTTACAAACTTAAAGGAGAAGTAAACATTTAGTTGTTGATTTATTGTCTCCGTATGGAAATATTTCTGCCTCCATCCAATAATAATTAAATAACATAAACATGGTGGGGGGTTCAGATTCAGCTGCTGTGACCTCTGACCTTCAGATTAATCAGATCAAAGTTATTTACATACAAAGTGTTGGATCATCTCTGAAATCTGTTTTAATCTGCATCCAAATGCTCCATCTCTGTTCACAAATCGTATCCCAGTCTGCTGTTACAGGACCTAGATTAGTCTGATCTCACTGGACCAGGATGTATTAATAGATTAATTATAAGATTAAGAATATATGTATTAATGTAAAGCATATGGATGGAGATTGAAGAGACACTACTGAGTATGTGCAGTGGGATGCAGTTCTGTTCTGGTTTCAGATCATGTGTGTAATGATTTTAAAAGCCCTGATCAGGATGCTACTTTGTTTTTTGTTGTTTTTTTTTTTACTGTGCTTTTACCAATACACATCCAAGAACAAAGTGGATTTGCTGCAATAAAGCGGATTCCCAGCTCAAATACAAAAGACCCAAACAATTCTAACAACAGCTTTAAATACTTCTAGGTCACACTACATTGCCAATAGCAAAGGTAAAATTACCTGGACAATTAAAGCTGTTGAGAAGACTAATAACATCAGTAATTCCCTCAAAAGGTGTTAAAATGTACAATAACGCTACAACATTATATTCTGGCTAGAGTTAATTTTACAAAGATAGGAAAATATTACAAAAAGAAAACCCATAACATCCTCCCCCTTCCCAAAGTTTCACTTGGTACAGTCCATATTGCCAAAACCTGGTGGAGTAAGGGGCATTCAAGTGGACCTCGGAGCAATCAATGATTAGTAATCAAGCAAACACTTGAATGAAAATAAACAAAATAAAGTCAATGTATTAATCAACTAAAATGGATCCTAAATTTAGATGATCAACATGTCACATAACCAAAATCAAATATTCAACTAAACCTCACTCACAATGTGACCTCAGCCTCACCCTGAGTCCAATGTTTACCTTCAGAATGAAATAAAAGTCTGACTGATGATTAATTCAGACAAAATTAACTCTTTCATGTGTTTGACCTTTGACCTCTCAGATCATTGAGACTCTGAGTGCTGTGGATCGTGATGAACCAGAGAATGGACATCACTTCCTGTTCTCTCTGACCACCAAAGCTGCTGGGAGCCTCAACTTCACCCTCCGAGACAACAAAGGTACAGTCCACCTTATAAAACACAACTGATCTAGAAAATCTACCTAAAACAATTTCCCCCTGGTGACTGACTGCAGTATAGACTCTCTCTCTCTATCTCCCCCTGGTGGCTGACTACAGTATAGACGCTCTCTCTGTCTCCCCCTGGGGGCTGCCTATTCGCCAATTCATAACAGAAGTTATCTCAGGACACTTTTCAAAGCAGGTTTAGGCCGAACTCCTTATAATATTTACAGAGACCCAACAGTACCCACCATGAGCAAGCACTTGGCGACGGGGGCAAGGAAAAACTGCCTGTTAAGAGGCAGAAACCTAGGACAGACCCTTCGGCTCTAGGTGGGTGGTCGTCTGCCTCGACCAATTGCGGTGAAAGAGAGAGAGAGAGAGAGAGAGAGAGAGAGACAGACAGACAGACAGACAGACAGACAGACAGAGGTGCACAGCAACAACAGTAGCAACAACTACACTAATAGTAGTGACTGATAATAATGAACATGAAGATGATGGAGATAACAGCAACGATGGGGGACAATGAATAGTGATTATAATAATAATAGTAACTGTAGTAATAATAATATTAATAATAATAATAACAATAATATTAGTGATATTAGCAATAGGAGTCAAGCAGGACCATGGCAGGAGGCTCCACCAGGATCCATGAGAACCTGCAAGACGAGAAAGCACAAGAACTCTGGGGAAGAAGTGAAGTTAGTAACATGCATTAATGGGACATGAATGAGTGCAGAAAGAGAGAGGAAGAGAGGAGCTCAATGCACCAAGGGAAATCCCCCAATAGTTTAGGCCTGTAGCAGCATAACTGCTAGGTGGTGTCCAGCAAACGATGTGGGCTTCATTGATAACTGGAAGCCTTTTTGGGGAAAACCTGGTCTGATTAGGAGAGACGGCATCCATCCCACTTTGGATGGAGCGGCTCTCTTATCTAGAAATATGGCTAAGTTTATTTCTAAAACCTGACAGTCCAGGGTTGGGACCAGGAAGCAGAGCTGCTGTCTTACACACTTCTCTGCGCTTTCTTTAGAACAGTCACCCACCCAAAACCCCATAGAGACTGTGTCTGTCCCCCGACCACCTAAATTATTTAAAGAAACAAAAACAAGAGGAGTTCAACATAAAAATCTAATAAAAATTAAAACCAACTCCTCAGTAGCACAAAATAAGAGAATGAAATGTGGGCTGTTAAATATCAGGTCTCTGTCCTCTAAAGCTGTTTTAGTGAATGAATTAATATCAGATTATGATATTGATTTACTTTGTCTTACTGAAACCTGGTTGTCCCACGAGGAGTATGTTAGCCTAAATGCATCCACCCCCCCCCCCCGTCATATTAATACTCACATTCCTCGAGGCACTGGCCGAGGAGGTGGAGTAGCAGCCATATATGATTCGAGCGTTTTAATGGACCCTAAACCTAAACTAAATTATAATTCATTTGAAAGCCTTGTTCTTAGTCTTTCTCACCCAAACTGGAAAACACTGCAGCCAGTTCTATTTGTTATAGTGTACCGCGCTCCTGGACCGTACTCTGATTTTATATCTGAATTCTCAGAGTTTTTATCAAGTTTAGTCCTTAAATCAGATAAAGTAATTATTGTAGGTGATTTTAATATTCATGTGGATGTTAACAATGACAGCCTTAGTAATGCATTTATATCATTAATAGACTCAATTGGCTTCTGTCAGAGTGTAAATAAACCAACTCATTGTTTTAATCACACTCTTGACCTCGTTCTTTCATATGGCATTGATATTGAACATTTAATAGTCTTCCCACATAATCCTTTCCTATCTGACCATTATTTAATAACTTTTGAATTCATACTATTAGATTATAAGCCATTAGGCAAAACTTCCTACAGCAGATGTCTATCTGACAGTGCTGTAGCTAAATTTAAGGAGGAGATTCCTTCAGTGAGACTAGCACCGTGGTACAACCACCAAACCCGCCAGTTAAAGCAAATAGCTATGAAATCTGAAAGGAAATGGCGCTCTTCCAAATTATCAGAATATCACTCAATTTGGCAAGATAATCTTAAAACTTATAGAAAGAGAGAGGAAAGAGGAGCCTATTACTCAGCACTAATAGAAGAAAATAAGAACAACCCTAGGTTCCTCTTCAGCACTGTAGCCAGGCTGACAGAGAGCCACAGCTCTATTGAGCCACATATCCCCATGAACTTAAGTAGCAATGACTTCATGAGCTTCTTTTAAAATAAAATTATTACTATTAGAGAAAAAATTAATCACCAACTGCCATCAACAGTTATCACTGGCTCTCCAAGTTCAGGGACTCATGCTAATGTAAACTTAGATATATATTTAGACTGTTTTTCTGCTATCGATCTTCATCAGTTAACTTCAATCATTTCTTCATCGAAGCCATCAACCTGTCTGTTAGACCCGATCCCAACTAGACTGCTTAAAGAAGTTGTTCCCTTAATTGGCACTTCTTTACTGGATATGATTAATCTCTCTTTATTATCAGGTTGTGTACCACAGTCCTTTAAAGTAGCTGTACTTAAACCCCTTCTTGAAAAGCCCACTCTTGACCCAGGGGTTTTAGCTAACTATAGACCAATCTCTAACCTCCCCTTCCTCTCTAAGATTCTGGAGAAAGTAGTCACCAAAGAGTTGTGTGACTTTTTACATAACAATAGTTTATTTGAGGATTTTCAGTCAGGATTTAGAGTTCATCACAGCACAGAGACAGCTCTGGTTAAAGTTAATAATGACCTTCTGATTGCTTCTGACAATGGACTTTTCTCTGTACTTGTATTATTAGATCTTAGTGCTGCATTTGACACCATTGACCATGATATTCTTTTACACAGACCTGAGCATCAAATTGGCATTAAAGGAACCGCACTAAGCTGGTTTAAGTCATATTTATCAGATCGTTCGCAGCTTGTACATGTTAACGATGAATCTTCAATAAATACTACAGTTAGTCATGGAGTTCCACAAGGTTCTGTACTTGGACCAATACTATTTACTTTATATATGCTCCCTTTAGGCAACATTATTAGGAATCACTCCATTAACTTTCACTGTTATGCAGATGATACGCAGTTATATCTATCGATCAAGCCTGATGAAATTAATCAATTATCTAAATTACAAACAAGTCTTAAGGACATAAAATCCTGGATGAGCTGCAATTTTCTGATGTTAAACTCAGAAAAAAACGAAATTCTTGTTCTTGGCCCCAAAAACCTCCTGCCATGGTCCTGCTAGATTGCCATTGCCAATACTGTTGTTGCTGTGCACCTGTCTGTCCGTCTCTCTGTGTCTCTCTCTCTCTCTCTCTCTCTTTCACCCCAACTGGTCGAGGCAGACGACTACCCACCTAGAGCCGAAGGATCTGTCCTAGGTTTCTGCCTTTTAACAGGCAGTTTTTCCTTGCCCTTGTCGCCAAGTGCTTGCTCATGGTGGTATTGTTGGGTCTCTGTAAATAATGTTTTAAAGAGTTCGGTCTAGACCTGCTCTATTTGAAAAGTGTCCTGAGAGAACTTCTGTTATGAATTGGCGCTATACAAATAAAATTGAATTGAATTGAATTGAATTGAATTGAACTAAGGGATGGTTCAGGACTCACCTGATCCAGCCCTAACTATAAGCTTTATCAAAGAGGAACATCTTAAGCCTACTCTTAAATGTGGAGAGGGTGTCTGCCTCCCGAACCAGTATAGACTCTATCCCCCCCCTGTAACCATAATATAAATTTATGTGTATATATATTTATATAAATATATGTATATAAATATAATAAAATGTAAAACTAATGAGGGAAGTGAGACAGGGAGAAAAGTTTACTTTTGACAGTTTCAGATCTCCAGTCTGCCCCTAGCAATTCTAAAAGCTGCTGACATCACTAAGGTGTTTCTTCCTGTCCGTCCATCTCAGATAACACGGCATCTATTCTGACTCAGCGTAGTGGTTTTCTGCAGCGGGATCAGCTGGTTCACTTCCTGCCGGTGGTGATTTCAGATGGCAGCAGTCCATCTCTCAGCAGCACCAACACACTGTCCATCACTGTCTGTGCCTGCGATGTCACTGGAAACCGCCACTCCTGCAGCCAGGGGCCATCGCCACTGCTCGGCCTCGGTACGGCCAGTGCAGTCCTCACCTGCATCCTCACTCTGCTCGGTGAGACCTGATCAGCTCAGAGAGTCCGCCCATTTTCACCTTCACCTGAAAATACACTCTGGAAACAGGAAACAGCAACGTACCTGCAGATGCACAGCATTGCCTAGCAATCAGCATTTACACCCTCACAGCCACCTACAAACACCATAACAACCACTCACAATCAAGATAGCAACCACCTACAATCACTATAGCAACAAGGATGTAATTAACCATAGTGCTGTCCCCGGCTTTCTGTGTCCTCAGGTGTCATCATGGTAACAATTGCTGTCAGATGCAGGAGAAGGGAGCCTCTGATGATGGATGATGAGCGTGACATCCGTGAGAACATTGTTCGTTATGACGATGAAGGTGGAGGCGAGGAAGACACAGAGGCATTCGACATATTTGCTCTGAGACACCTGAACAAAAGTAACCAGACCAACCAAGACCCCGACCTGAACCCACCAGGACTCCTCAGCAAAACCCTGGATTACAGGACCGACAAGAACCAGCTGTTCCAGGAGTTCATCAGGGACAGACTGCAAGAGGCAGACCTAGACCTGACAGCGCCCCCCTATGACTCTCTGCAGACTTATGCGTTTGAGGGCAGCGGGTCGGCCGCGGAGTCCCTCAGCTCATTAAACTCGTTAGGGTCTGAGCAGAACTACGACTTTTTGAAAGAGTGGGGACCACGGTTTAGGAAGCTCGCAGACCTATATGGACACCATGAAGGAGGAGGGGACGCCTGATAACCTTCAGTCAGACTGCAGCAGAGGACAGGTGTGTGGATGCCGCAGGTACAGGGGGCATGGTTAAAGTGGGAACTTCCTGTTTTAATCCCTCTGTTATCTGAACTGGATCTAGATCTGGATCATGTGTGGATCAGGATCAGAGTCCAATCTCTCATAATAAAGTTATTCTTTATTCTAAAAACTGCTGTTTTGATCTCTTCACACTGTCTACCTTCAATACTGATTACTGATTATTGATCCACTGTTTAAATACTGAGCCACTCCCAAAATCGTCCACTGTCTCCTGTCACATGATGTTTTTATGTGAGGTCAGAAAGTCGGAGGAGTAATATGAAAGAAAAGAGACAAAACACAAAGTCAACACCGTCGGACAGGAAAAAGTTCTGAAGATGCTCTGAAAACGTTCCAAAGACGTTCTGAAGCTGTTCTGAAGCTACTCTGAAAACGTTCTGAAGCTGTTCTGAAAATGTTCTGAACCTGTTCTGAAAATGTTCTGAAGCTGCTCTGAAAACGTTCTGAAGCTTTTCTGAAGACATTCTGAAGCTGTTCTGAAGCTGTTTTAAAGATGCTCTGAAAACACTAAGCCCCACTTATCTTTTACAGTAAGATGAAAATCTATTATTAAAAACCTTGGAACATATTGTTTTGAATTTTGGTAGAACCTAGAGAAGCAACAGCACCAAAAAGTGACAGAAACAACCCAGGATATATGATATATCTTGGGTTTTTTCCTGTGAATGGGCAAAATGTATTCAGCCCAAGCACAGTAGTGTAAGCTTCCATTCACTTTTGATTGACAGGTGTCCTGACACGCCCCCTTCATATGCTGTCCATTTGGGCTAAATTCCTTCAGCCCAAAGGCTGACCTTCGACCAATCACAGCGCAGTAGCTACAATACAGTGACCTTCGACCAATCATAGCGCAGTATCTACAGTACAGTGAGGCCGGTTCGTAGTAAGGCGGGCGTTAGCATTAGCATGAACGAGGTGGATTATTATTTTCTAATCAATTTTCTTTGGAGGAAAAATTGGAAGTACAGAGATTGGGAACACATCGAAACGATGTTCAAATAACACAAAAGTACAAACGACAAAATCGTAATTTTGTGTTACGTGGTTTCAGCTAATGGACTGGCTAACAGCAAGTGTAGCTAGGAATTCACTTTTCTGTTTCCCATGTTTACTTTTTGGAGGAGACACAGTTTGGACCCAACAAGGAATTGAGGATTTGAAATATTTATCCGACAAAATTAGGAAATATGAATGCAGCAGGAGCCACATTGGAAAGAGCGTAAAGTGGTCATTGCTGGGTAAAGTAAACCAGGCATTCACTATCACAGATTGTGGACTGTATTACATTTTGTGGTGGGGACAAGCTCGCCCTGCGGGGGTCCGACGAATCTCCCACTTCACTCCAGCGGCGACCAGTTCTCTTTTTTAGACAGTCAATCAGCCGATCACCTGTCAAACACACAGGTTGCCAAGTACACGTCTAAGACCACAGATTCTCTTAAAACGAGACAGGGCCTGGAGAACTTTTCGTGCTCCATATCTGAACTGCTGACCACAGATGACAATCAGCCACATCCAGATGCAGACACTGTAACGCCTCGCAGGATGCGGCGCTCTGATAATGTGTCAGTAGCCGCTCAGTGCTGTGACTTAATGGTCGAGAAGTCAAAGGCTCACTTTGAGAAAGCCAGGCACTTGTTGTCTTTGCATGTGCACATTACCCAATGATTTGCAGGGAGAAACTGAAAGGTGAGCTGATGGTGAGGTACAGTAGTGTGGAGTTTGACATGGTGATTAACCTGTTTGCGTCACAGAAAGGCCGTCGATGTGAGCGGCATTTTAAATAAAGTATGCCCAAGCTCTGAAACAACTCTCTCCTACAAATATTTATTTTTGCTTTGGTTTTATAGATTTATTTCTGGTACACGGTGTTGTAAATTGTTGCAGGTACTTTTCTATAATGTAGTTGTAGCACAATTGGCATGAGCTGATGTGTACAGAGGAGAGAGAGAGACAGACACAGAGAGAGATAGTTTTTTTTGGCATCAGGTCACTCTTTTGGGTATGTCTGCCCAGTGTTGCCATAGAGCCCTTGCTATAACAAAATATACAATGTTGTTGCTGTAACTTGATGTGATGCTGCTGTTGCTGCTGTTGCTGCTGTGTGAGGTATTGATGAGTGTAATGCATTTGTAAGCCCACCCACCCAAAATCTCCACCAGCCGTCACAGCTGAAGATGTTCTGAAAATGTTCTGAAGACGCTCTGAAGACGTCTGAAGATGTCCTGAAGCTGTTCTGATGAAGATGTTCTGAAACCGTTCTGAAACTGTTCTGAAGATGCTCTGAAAACGTTTTGAAGACATTCTGAAGATGTTTGAAGACGTTCTAAAAATGTCTCCAAGGCCTTGCTCATGGTAGGAACTACTGGGACTCTGTAAATAATGTTATAAGGAGTTCGGTCTAAACCTGCTCTATTTGAATAGTGTCCTGAGATAACTTCTGTTATGAATTGGTGCTATACAAATAAAACTGAATCAAACTGAAACTCGGTCTTAATTTTGGCCCTCTCTGTGATTGAGTTGGACACCCCTGCTGTAGGTTGTTGTTTCCAGTCTGAGTTTTTGCTGAGGCACTTTAAACAGATGTGATTGGTTGTTCACACACTGTAGTCATGGTGACATGTGACATCATCAGTCAGTTCATGATGATGACACACAATGAAGAGTTTCATCATCACAGGACAGAGAGAAAGAGACAAACAACAACTAACAAGTCATAAAAACTGTGTTGTCCATCTCTCACGTAAACATACACACACACACACACACACACACACACACCCTTAATTTGTTTATAAACAACAAACAAAGATCTATATTTGATATGCTCTGTCCCTGAAAATATATAAAGCTAAACTATAATAATAATAATAATAATAATAATGATAATTGTTTATATATTTATCCTGAGATTCGTTTAGTTTGTGTTTGTTGAGTTTATATTCAATAAATATTCAATAAACGATCACATTTAAATATAACTACTGTTATTACAGTTTTTCTCAATCGCTTTGGTAAATTTCTCAGGCCAGAATTGAAATTCTCAAACTACCTGTTCAATCTTCACATCATTGTGTCACTTGTGCACATCAAAGAAGCAGATTCTCATTTCTTTGAAAAAGTTGCAAATGCTTTGGTACATCCATGCAAATGATTATGTACAATTCTCTGCTGTTTTCTACATTATCAATTGATTATGTAAATGGTTGAACACGTTGTCATAATATGTCAAGCATATTTCTATACATTTCCATTAGACTTTTTTTCTAAATCTGTCCTGAATTGGTAAATTGCTCCCAGGTGAATCTTGACTTTCTCTAACAAATCAATCAACTGGCAAGTATATATGTAGCCGGAGCACAACACAATGTTACAATTTCTGACAATGGAAGGACGAAGAATTCCGACGGGGTCAACAGCCAGAGAGAAGAAGAAGAGGAAGAGGAGTGAGGCTGCGTGGCGGAGGAGTTGGGAGGCAAAACAGAGGAAGAGGCAGAAGAGGCCGAGGACATATGCGCGTTCCTGATGAGATAAGAGCCACACTTGTAGACCATGTTCTCAATCATGGGCTTACAATGGCCGAGGCTGGTCGAAGGGTGCAGCCAAATGTTGGGAGAACAACTGTGTCAGGGTTTCCCGCAGCACTTTGCAGCTAAGACAGCAACTCCACTGGCTCCTGGTAAAACTCCGCATTGACTTCAAAATCCTCCTATTCACGTTCAAGGCCATCCACAACCTCTCCCCTCCTTATCTGTCCGAACTCCTCCACATCGCCAACCCTTCCCGTTCCCTCAGATCTGCCTCCTCTGTCCACCTCTCTGTCCCTCCCGCCCGCCTCGTCACCATGGGGAGCAGGGCTTTCAGCCGCTCTGCCCCCCAACTCTGGAACTCACTCCCACCGGACCTCAGGAACCTGGACTCTCTCACACTCTTCAAATCAAGATTAAAAACTCACCTATTCAGAACTGCCTACCCCACTTAACCATCTACATTGTCTTTTCTTATCTGTTTCTTATTTCTTGCTGTTTTTTTTTTTTTGTGTTGTACGGTGTCCTCGAGTGCCCAGAGAGGCGCCTCTAATAATTTAATGTATTATTATTATTATTAACACACGCCTGCCGCCTTAACTACGTCGTCAAAAAAATAAAATAAAAAAGTAGGCCGAGTGATATGAGCAATATGAGCGATATCCGCCGTGTTACTCTATCCTGTTTTCTCCCTTTCTTTCCAAACTGCGTTGCGTTTACACATGGTTGTTTATTTCTAAAACCTGGCAGTCCAGAGTTGGGACCAGGAAGCAGAGCTGCTGTCTTACACACTTCTCTGCTCTTTCCTTAGAACAGTCACCCACCCAAAACCCCATAGAGACTGTGTCTGTCCCCTGACCACTGAAATTATTTAAAGAAATAAAAAACAGAGGAGTTCAACATAAAAATCTAATAAAAATTAAAACTAACTCCTCAGTAGCACAAAATAAGAGAATGAAATGTGGGCTGTTAAATATCAGGTCTCTATACTCTAAAGCTGTTTTAGTGAATGAATTAATATCAGATTATGATATTGACTTACTTTGGCTTACTGAGACCTGGTTGTCCCACGAGGAGTATGTTAGCCTAAATGAATCCACCCCCCCACCCAGTCATATTAATACTAACATTCCTCGAGGCACTGGCTGAGGAGGTGGAGTGGCAGCCATATATGATTCGAGCGTTTTAATGGACCCTAAACCTAAACTAAATTATAATTCATTTGAAAGCCTTGTTCTTAGTCTTTCTCACCCAAACTGGAAAACACTGCAGCCAGTTCTATTTGTTATAGTGTACCGCGCTCCTGGACAGTACTCTGATTTTATATCTGAATTCTCTGAGTTTTTATCAAGTTTAGTCCTTAAATCAGATAAAGTAATTATTGTAGGTGATTTTAATATTCATGTGGATGTTGACAATGACAGTCTTAGTAATGCATTTATATCATTAAT